CACTTCAAGAAAAAACATTTTGGAAAATATGCATATGAACCGAACGTTCATGATTTTCGTGGTAGTTGTGTAGGGTATCATATGGTCGGCACCGTCCGACTATACTGCTCCGCTCACTGGTTCGATTTAAAAATTACCCAAAAAAAATTAATCATCTCTTTTGACCCACATTTGACAGAGCTTAAATGTGGATCAAGAGAGATGATTTATTTTTTAGGAAATTTTTAAGGAAAACTGAGAATGGAGGGGCGGGTCGCCTTAAACTAATTAGAAGGTCCCGCCCAAGTTCCAGGCCACATTTACAAACTAAAATGTCGGTATATTATTTTGTCTCGAGGGTTCAAAAAAATCTCCTAGCTGACAATTTACAAGGGTGCATGGTTGGACATGGACAGTTATTAGGGTCCCAACCCACATGCCTGCTAATGACCGAGGTCGAAATTGACGTGTTTTAATATATTGTTCAAAGAATTTTCCACTCACTTTATTACGATTTAATATCGTGTTCAACCTTTGAACCTTAATTTTATTCTTGGACGACAACCTCCCATAGTTTTATTTTTGTTTTATTTTGAATTCATAATTTTTATTAGTCACCCAACAGAAACTGTTAATTTATGATTATTCACACACAAATCAGCCTACTATTAATGATGGTCTGCGTTTTTGCTGCTAGGTCCCCGAAGCCGATTACAATGTTAATTTAACGTCATTATCTTCTGTTCCAATCCATTGTTTGTGGATCATTATCATCGGTGTGTCATTGACTAGCTGAGTTTTAGATGCTTTTGGCCCTATAACACGTTTGGTACAAGGTCAAAGAAAGAAGTTCAGCTCAGTCTTAGGAATGTGCGCTGATGGATTTTTCTTTAAATTTTTTTCGTTGATTTTAAAAGCCAGTTTCAAATATTAACTTGGTGGTTGATGTTGCAATCATCACCATCATCACCATTGATGATGTTAAACAATGATCTGTCTATAATCTTTGCTACACGTTTTACTTAAAAAAATTCTCAATATTTATTAACACATTCAAAAAAGAAAAAAAGTAAGAGATTTTAGTTTTAGTGGATATGCACATGTATGTTTCTTAATGAAATTTGTAGCATGTTTTATCAGAGAAATGTTTTTTTTTTTGTCTTCTCTACTTTTTGGATTTTTTTTTTTTTTGTATTTCCTCTAAAAATAAAAATATACCATCGGTCTACTATAAGGTGTAAATGAAACATCAATGTAAATTATATCCATGACATTGACCATCTTTTTTTGCAGATAAATACAACCAAACAGAAAATCTCCATAATTAGGGGATATTAATTGAAATGAAGTTATTGTTTCGTTTTCTTTGTTCATTTTTGGTTGTGGTCCGGAAGGTCAATGGCCAAAATTAGTGAATATAAACCATACCATTTTTTTTAAGTTTTATATTATGTTAATTTTTTTTGCACATTTTTATTAAATCAGATTGTCACATTAGATATCAATGCTAGCGGGCCAATGGTTAGGAATTGACAGGTGTTAATATACATGTCACTCTTCGTTTTTTTTTCATTACAATTAAAGAAAAATCAAAAAAATAAAAAAAAATAAAATAAAAATACAAATAAAAAAATTATTTATTTCTGTCTGGTCGAACTTTCTATACCATACACCATACCTAAAATTATTCGAATATATGTTAAGACATAAATGAATATAATGCAAATTGTCTACGCCTCTATACTGAAAAAAAATATTTTTTTAAAAAAGCACGTCTCTATAGGTACTGAAAAAATAGTTTAAAACCAGTGAGCGCAGAAGTATAGTCGGACGGGGCCGACCATACGATACCCTACACAACTACCACTCTACTCTAGAACTCTATCCTTTTGCGGATTTTTAGTCTGAGCCTGGCTAATATTTCATGATAGTTGCACCCTCTCGCCCGATTAGAGGTCAACAGCACCTCTTCCTTACACTGACATATTTCCGAATATTACCAATCTTCAGTACATCCCTTCTAATTACTTGCCCACATTCCCTCCGGCTTATAATTGTGGCCTATAGATCGACTTAAAAAAAAAAACAAAACAAAAAACCAGTGAGCGGAGCAGTATAGTCGTACGGGGCCGACTATACGAAACCCTACACAACTACCTCGGTACTCCAACTTTCTGCGGATTTTTATTCCGATCCTTGGCAATATATCGTGATAGTTGCACCCTCTTGCCCGATTAAAAGTCAACAGCACATCTTCCTTACGCTGATATATTTTCCAAATATTACTAATGTTCAGTACAGTCCTTCTAATAACTTGTCCAAATTTCCTTCACCGAAGTTGTGTTGTCATGTTCAGCTTTCAATTGTGGCCCATAGATCGACTCGAAATAACTCAAAATATTAAGTTTTCGGTCCACTTCATCCCAAAATTATTATCTGATAATCGCCGAAACTTATAGGCGTTGTCCTGGACCATAACTACAAGTCCATGGAACATTTTAAAGCGATTAGCGCTATATTCCGCCCTCCAGTGTGATAATATCTGAATACGTAAGCACTTGCAAATACTTAAGTGTAACTCCCACATCCGAGTACATACGACAATATAATTGGTATCAATTTAAATGCCAACCTCTCCTCTTGGATATACTATCAACTTCTTGGATCTATGTCCTTCAGGGGTAAATATATACAACATAGAATACAAATTTTGTAATTTTTCACACAAAACTCAAACAAAACTCAAACTGCATTTGATCCGCTAAATGATGACCAATCTTTATCAAAACAGCTATTCTTATTCTTTGGCCCGATCCCCTTCTCCATGTAAAAATTGGCGATGTTTGGGCCATAATTGCGACCTCTGGAGCGACCACAAAATCTGACAAAAATTTAGTGTTTGGTCCATTTCATCCCCTAAATATTAAGCGATCTTTACCAAAAACAATAGGGGTCTTCATTGGCCAGAACCCATTCTACATGCAAAATTTCGTGAAGATTGATCCATAACTGTGGCCTGTATCGTGTTTACAAATTATAATGGACAGACGGACGGACGGACACGCATGTCTAGATCGACTCAGCTAGTCGAGATATGACGATCGGTATACTTATAAGGTGGGTCTAGGACCAATATTTCGTGGAGTTACAAATCGAAATATATATAGGGACTTTGTTGCACCATTTAACTAAAATCGGACGAAAATATATATGGGAGCTATATCTAAATCAGAACCGATTTTCAGGAAACTTAACACACATCTTTCTAGACTTAATTCAGTACGCTGTGCCAAATTTCGTGCAAATCCAAGGATATATAGGGACTTAGGTGCACCATTTACCTAAAATCGGACGAAAATATATATGGGAGCTATATCTAAATCTGAACCGATTTTCACAAAATTCAACACACATCTTTCTAGACTTAATTCAGTACGCTGTGCCTAATTTCATGCAAATGAAAAGATATATAGGGATTTTGGTGCACCATTTATCAAAAATCGGACGAAAATATATATATGGGAGCTATATCTAAATCTGAACCGATTTTCACAAAATTCAACACACATCTTTCTAGATTTAATTCAATACGCTGTGCCAAATTTCGTACAAATCGAAGGATATATCGGGACTTTGGTGCACCATTTACATAAAATCGGACGGGAGCTATATCTAAATCTTAACCGATTTTCATGAAATTTAATACACATCGTTCTAGACTTAATTCAGTACGCTGTGCCAGATTTCGTGCAAATCGAAAGATAAAGAGTGACTTTGGTACACCATTTACATTAAATTGGACAAATATATGGGAGCTATATCTAAATCTGAACAGATTTTCACGAAATTTAACACACATCTTTCTAGATTTAATTCAGTACACTATGCCAAATTTCGTGAAAATCCAAGGGTATATAGGGACTTTGGTGCACCATTTACCTAAAATCGGACGAAAATATATATATTGGAGCTATGTCTAATTCTGGACCAATTTTCACGAAATTTAACACACATCGTTCTAGATTTAATTCATTACGCTGTGCCAAATTTCGTGCAAATCGAAGGATATATAAGGACTTTGGCGCACCATTTACCTAAAATCGGACGAAAATATATGTTTGGGCGCTATATCTAAATCTTAACCGATTTTCACGAAATTTAACACACAACTTTCTAGACTTAATTCAGTACGCTGTGCTAATTTTCGTGCAAATCGAAATTTATATAGGGTCTTTGGTGCACCATTTACATAAAATCGAACAAAAATATATATGGGAGCTATATCTAAATCTGAACCGATTTTCATGAAACTTAACACACATCACTATAGACTTAATTTAGTACGCTGTGCCAAATTTCGTGCAAATCGAAAGTTATATAGGGTCTTTGGTGCACCATTTACATAAAATCGGACGAAAATATATATGGGAGCTATATCTAAATCTGAACCGATTTTTCCCAAATTCAATAGGGTTCGTCGTATAAAATATCCAAGGCCCTTGACAACCTTTAAAAATGTGGCAACATTTTAAATGTCAAGAATATTTTAACTTTTTCTCTTTGCCTTCGAAATATAGAAGGAATTCTGTGTTTTTCGTGATATCGTCATAATTGAAGGTATTATAATCATAGTGTAATGTATCTAACAGCCATAATCTCTTGGCACAATTTTCCACGTGTTTTCATTTTCAGATAATATGCACTAATTATCCCGCTGACATTGTATTCATGAAATTTGATTTAAACTTGAAATACTAATTAATATAACATTTCAAAAATACACGATGGTCTGCTAACTCCACACGACCAAAACTTGAAGAAAAAAATGCAGAACAAAATTATTAGCATGAACTTGAACTAATTTTTATTATTAATAGGGTTTTTATTTAATTTTGGTATATTGACGGGTTTAGTTTACATTTCAAGTCAATGGCATCCGACCAAAAAATGTGTGTCTCCATATTAATTTAAAATCAGGTTTCATTTAGCATTTTGTTGTTGTTTCATAAAATAAACAAACAATGCGGGACGAAGATGTTGAAGAAGCATTAAAATCCCAAGACAACAACAACGACAACATCAGTAATTTGCTAATTCATATTTATAAGTTTGTGTTGTTTTTTTGGTTTATGGCACTGTAAACTTGGCCATTATTTTAGGGTAGTCTTCATCTAAGTCTTTGTTTTTGTATGAACTTGAACTTTTTTTCCATTATATCTGCCTACAGAAGACATAACCTAGCCCAGTTTTGTGTAAATATAAAACGGCTAACCTAGACTATTACCATTTACAAATACATACAATAAAAATTAGGTATGTGTGTGTGTGTGGTAAATAACATGAACTTATTGCATTATTATCACTTGCGAACAACTGTAAAGACATTTAACCTAATTTCAAGCCCTGATGGCATGCAGCCATTTATGAACACATCATCCATCAAATCATTGATTTAAAACATGGCCATAATTTGGTTGCTTAATAATTTTGTTGTTGTTGTTTTCTTTTTAAGTTATGACACATCAACGAAAACAAATAAAAACAAGAATCAGGTCAAGTTTAAGGCATGTGGAGGAAAATACCATACGATTTTTATATTAATGAAACAGATATATAGGAGCCTATTGAAGGTCGAATAACTATGGAAGACTAGACTAGCAGTTGGTGAACAAGGTTAAAAAATATTTTTAAACCAGTAAGGAAAGTCGGACGGGGCCGACTATATGATACTCTTCACCACTTTGGGTATATTCAACAGATTAATCCTAACAGACGTCTCAGTTTTAAAGGACCAGTAAAATGAAATTGGATCAATAAACATGTCATTCTGCAACCGATACTAAATTTTTCATTTGGTCAGATATGGAAGCTTAACACACATCATTCTAGACCTAATTCATTACACTCTGCCAAATTTCGTGCAAATCGAAAGATTTATAGGGACTTTGGTGCACCATTTACATTAAATCGAACGAAAATATATATGGGAGATATATCTAAATCTGAACCGATTTTCACGAAACTTAACACACATCATTCTAGACCTAATTAATTACACTGTGCCAAATTTCGTGCAAATCGAAAGATTTATAGGGACTTTGGTGCACCTTTTACATTAAATCGGACGAAAATATATATGGGAGCTATATCTAAATCTGAACCAATTTTCGCGAAACTTAACACACATCATTCCAGACCTTATTTATTACGCTGTGCCAAATTTAGTGCAAATCGAAAGATTTATAGGGACTTTGAGGCACCATTTACATTAAATCGGACGAAAATATATATGGGAGCTATATCTAAATCTGAACCGATTTTCAGGAAACTTAACACACATCATTCTAGACCTAATTCATTACACAAATCGACATTTCGTGCAAATCGAAAGATATATAGGGACTTTGGTGCACCAAATACATTAAATCGGACGAAAATATATATGAGAGCTATATCTAAATCTGAACCGATTTTCACGAAACTCAACACACATCATTCTAGACCTTATTCATTACGCTGTGCCAAATTTAGTGCAGATCGAAAGATATATAGGGACTTTGGTGCACCAAATACATTAAATCGGACGAAAATATATATGGGAGCTATATCTAAATCTGAACCGATTTTTCACGAAACTTAACACACATCATTCTAGACCTAATTCATTACGCTGTACCAAATTTTGTGCAAATCGAGAGATATATAGAGACTTTGGGACACCATTTAAATTAAATCGGACGAAAATATATATGGGATCTATATCCAAATCTGAACCGATTTTCACGAAACTTAACACACAATATTCTAGACCTTACTCATTACGCTGTGCCAAATTTCGTGCAAATCGAGAGATATATAGAGACTTTGGGCACCATTTACATTAAATCGGACGAAAATATATATGGGAGCTATATCTAAATCTGAACCCATTTTCAGGAAACTTAACACACATCATTCTAGACCTAATTCATTACGCTGTGCCAAATTTCGTGCAGATCGAATGATATATAGTGACTTTGGTGCACCAAATACATTAAATCGGACGAAAATATATATGGGAGATATGTCTACATCTGAACCGAATTTCCCGAAACTTAACACACATCATTCTAGACCTAATTCATTACCCTGTGCCAAATTTCGTGCAAATCGAGAGACATATAGGGACTTTGGTGCACCATTTACATTAAATCGGACGAAAATATATATGGGAGCTATATCTAAATCTGAACCGATTTTCCCGAAACTTAACACACATCATTCTAGACCTAATTCATTACGCTGTGCCAAATTTCGTCCAAATCGAGAGATATATAGGGACTTTGGTGCACCAAATATATTAATTCGGACGAAAATATATATGGGAGCTATATCCAAATCTGATCCGATTTTTCCCAATTTCAATAGAGTTCTTCCTTGGGCCAAATAAGTGACCTATGCCAAATTTCATCCAAATCCGATCATAAAGGCGACCTGTACTTTGTTCACAAAAATACATGGACAGACAGACGGACGGACAGACGGACATGCGTAAATCGATTCAGAAAGTAATTCTATGCATATTCTCAAAAGGAACCATGTGTCTATCTCGTTTTCTTTTGTCTGTTACAAACATATGCACAAAGACGAAGGTGTCCATGTACCACAGTGTGGTGAAGGGTCTTAGATAGGTCTCCAAAATATTTTTTTAAAAAATCCGCGCTATAATCTAAGCTTATCGCTTCTGATAAAATAACATTAAAATTTTATTTTTCTTTCTTTTTTATTGCAGATTTATATCCTCTATCTCCAAAATGAAACAAACTACAGTGGATCAAAATGAAGCCGCTCTCACAGAGAGTATTTTGAAGGTGGCCAAACGTGAGCTGCGTGAAGATAAATGTACACGGGATCAATGTCTGGAACAATTCCGCAATTGGTTGGCCAAAAACGAAGATGTCCAAAATATTCGCACCGATGATCACTTTGTGTTACGTTTCTTGCGGGCAAAGAAATTCAGCGTTCCCATGGCTGAACAGACTCTATTGAAATATTTAAATGTACGCCGGACATTTCCACACATGACCACTGGATTGGATTTCTTCGATGAACGTCTGAATGATATTATCTCGAATGGTTATATTTATGCCACACCCAAGCGGGATAAAAATGGTCGCCGTGTCATCATCAATAATGCCCACTGTTTTAATGCCAAAAAATACAATGCCATGGATCAGGCAAAGGCACACTTCCTAACCTATGAATGTCTTATGGAAGATCCTCAAACTCAGGTTATGGGTTTGACACACATTGGCGACTTTGCTGGCATCACCACGGCCCATGTTACCAATTGGAATCCCACAGAATTTGGTCGCCTCTTCAAATGGGGTGAACAATCACTTCCCCTCAGACACAAAGAGATTCACTTGATCAATGTCCCCTCCACCCTGAAATGGGTGGTCGATTTCGTTAAGAATCGTGTCAGTTCGAAAATGCGTAACCGTCTCAATGTCTACACCAGTGATAAAGATTTACACAAAGCTGTCGATCCCGAATGCCTGCCATTGGAGCTGGGCGGTAAAATTCCACAAAAAGAAATGGTCGAAATGTGGAAGCGGGAATTGGCCGAAAAGCGTGATATTATCCTGCAACTGGACGAAATGAAATTACTCACAGATCGTGGTATTTTGCGCAAAAGTTCACACAATTCCGAAAAGTCCAGCAATCAACCGACATTTGTCTCACAAATCGAATCGATACAAGGCAGTTTTCGTAAATTGGAATTTGATTGATTTTTCGGCAAAGAGGCGGGAAACGTGCCGATAAATTAGAGATTAATTGTATTTGTTGATCAATATTTTTTTTGTTATTAGATTTAAGTTATTTGTTTTTTTAGTTTTGTGTTATTTTTAAGAAAATCAAAAAATATATATGTTAGAATTGTTTTATTTGTAGCATATGTGTATAAGAGAATAGTATAACTGAATCCGGTTTTATGTATTGTGCACTCAATGAAAAAAAATATGGTTGCACTAAATATAAATGGAATGTGAATAAAACAAAAAAATTCTTCAAAAATTAGTTCAAGTTCGAACATGGGGAATATCGGTCCACTCCTTCTGGTACTGCCCACACAGGGGCTAGGCCTAAATGCGGGTTACAGTTCATATATATGAATATATATCTATACTAATAAAAGAGTAAAGTGGTTGACTGATTGACTGACTGACTGATTTAACGATTCATCAACGCCCAGTCGAAACGGCTGAAGCTAGAACCTTGAAATTTTGAGTGACTCTTGGTCCAAATGTGACAGATAAGGCTGGGTTTTGGAAATTCGTACTAGAACGGTACGAGAAGTACTAAATGTGATGTCATTTGTATTTGGCGAACCGGTGGAGCTAGAACTCTGAAATTTGGTTTGGTGGTCGTTGATGGAGTGTAGAATAGATGTAGCAAGGGCTTTTATAATTATCCGAAAAGTACTGAAATGTACTAAATTTGGTACAATTTCGTAGCATGTGAATGGATTGAGCTAAAAACTTGAAATTTGGAATGTAAATTAACGTTGAGAAGTAGGGTCGATATGAGGAGAGTTTGAAAAGCGTTTAATCATGTGTACGAAAAGTACTATATGGTACTATATTTGGTACAAATTTGATTTGGAGGTACAAATCGAGCTGGAATCCTAAAAATTGAAATTAGTATTACCGTCGGAGTGTAGGATTGGGATATGTAAGTAGTTTTGGAATTTTTTTACTTATGTGTACGAAAAGTACTAAATCGTACTATAATTGGTACAATTTGGATTTGAGTGAACCGATAGAGCTGGAACAATGAACTTTGGAGTTAGGATCATTGTAGGGATGTAGGATTAGGGTCATGATTCAGTTTAACAAATTAACACTTTGGGTACTAAATGATACTAAATTTGGTACCATTTGAATTTTAGGTGAACCAATAGAGCTATAATTATGAAATTTGGAGTCAGAATCACTGTTGAAGTGTAAGATTGAAATGTGTAAGAAGTTTTAGAAATTTGTGTACTAAATTCGGTACAATTTAAATTGTGAGTGAAGCGATAATGTTTGATTCCTGAAATTTTGACTCAGGATCACTGTGGAGTTGTAGGATTGGAGTATGTAGGGAGATTTGGAATTTGGTACTAATGTGTACTAAATCTGGTATAATTTGAATTGTGGGTTAACTCATAGAGTTGGAATCCTGAAATTTTGATTTAGGAACACTGTGGAGGTGTAGGATTGGGGTATGTACGAAGTTTTGGAAATTGGTACTACTGTGTACTAAATTTGGTACAATTTGAATTGTTGGTGAACCGATAGAGCTGGAATCCTGAAATTTTTATTTAGGATCACTGTGGAGGTGTAGAATTAGGGTATGTAGGATGTTTTGGAAATTGGTACTACTATGTACTAAATTTAGTACAATTTGAATTGTGGGTGAACCGATAGAGTTGGAATTTGGGAATTGGTACTAATGTGTACTAAATTTGGTACAATTTGAATTGTGGGTGAACTCATAGAGTTGGAACACTGTGGGGGAGTTTGTTTGGGCTAAGAAGGAGGTTTTGGAAAATCGTACTACTGTGTACTAAATTTGGTACAATTTAAACTGTGGGCGATAGAGTTGGAATCCTGAATCTTGGATTTAGTGTCACTGTAGGGGTGTAGGTTTGGGGTAAGAAGGGGGTTTTGGAAATTTGATCTATTGTGTACTAAATTTGGTACAATTTGAATTGTGGGTAAACCTATAGAGTCGGAATCCTAAAACTTGAATTTAGGATCACTGTGGGGGTGTAGGATTGGATGTTTTGGAAATTGGTACTACTGTGTACTAAATTTGGTACAATTTGAATTGTGGGTGAACCGATAGAGTTGGAATCCTGAAAGTTGGATTTAGGATCATTGTGGGGCCAGGATTGGGGTATGTAAAAAGTTTTGGAAATTGTAAAAAATTTTTGGACACCAAAAAGGGGGCGAATATTAAAAATTTTTAGTAGGGAGATTTGTTAACATATATGACTACAAAATACCACATTGCAGCGCTCAAGAACCTCAAAATACCGAAAATTGGGGGGTACCCTTATATAGGGGATATCCGAAAAAATGGACCTATATTTATAACTTTTTGTGGAGAGATTTGGTACCTATTAAGAACTCAAAATACTAAATCACTGTCAATTCGATGAAAAAATACGATCAAAATCCCCAAAATACTGAAAAGTAGGAGGTACCGTTATATGGGAGTTATATGGGGGCAGAAAAAGTGGACCCATATTTATAATTTTTTGTGGAGACATTTACTATCCCATAAGAATCCAATATACCAAATTTCAGCGTATTCGGTTGAAAACCCCGCTCAAGAACCCCAAAATACCCAAAATTGGGGGATACCCTTATATGGGAGCTATGCATAAACGTGGACCGATAAAGCCCATCTTCGAACTTGACTTGCCTGCAAACAAAAGACGACTTTATGCAAAATTTTGGCGATCTATCTCAATTCGTTTAGACCCTAGAGTGATTACAACAGACAGACGGACATGCCGATATCTTCATAGAATTACGGTGATCAAGAATATATATACTTTATAAGGTCGGAAATGAATATTTCGATGAGTTACAAACGGAATGACAAAATTAATATACCCTTCATACTATGGTGGACGGTATAAAAATACCAACGGTGTGTTATTCTCTTTACATGTATCACAATAAACTAAACACTATGTGAATTCGCGAACATTTGCGATCATTCTTTGTCATTGGTGAATGAATGTCAGAAATGATTTCAATCACCACCGCAACGAACCATCGTTATTGTGTGGTCGCATTCTTTTGTAATGTGTGTACGAACATTCTTCTTCTGGTATCAAATAGTGGCGTTGAAGAAGATACCCCAGAACCAATAAGAGATGATGGTATATAGTGTATATATAGGTCATAAAATCAATAAATCGGCTCAAGGACAACAAAGCAGCAGGAGCCGATAGGTTACCAGCCGAACTATTCAAGACTGGTGGCCAGATGCTGGTCAGGATGATGCACCAGTTCATTAGTACAATTTGGCTAGATGAATGCATGCCTACTGATTGGAACCTTAGCATCCTGTGTCCCGTGCACAAAAAAGAAGACAACTATAGAGGAATAAGTCTCCATCGCATCGCAAATAAAGTGCTATCCAGTGTGCTGTGTGAACGATTGAAGCCAATGGTCAATGACATCATCATACCAATGCGGCTTCAGACCTGGCAAATCCACCATTGACCAGATTTTCACTCTGCGCCAAATCCTGGAAAAGACCCACGAAAAACACAACGACACATACCACCTATTTGTCGACTATAAAGCCGCATTCGACAGCCCTATCCGTTCAGAGGGGTATAAAGCCATGTCTGCGTTTGGCATTCCTGCAAAATTAATACGGCTATGCAGGATAACTTTAAGTGGCACAAGATCAGCAGTTAAAGTATGAAAGGACCTATCGAAGCCCTTTAATACCGAACGAGGATTCAGACAAAGTGACAGTTTGTCGTGTGATATTTTTAACATCCTACTGGAAAAGGTCATACGAGACGCAAAGGTGAAGAGAAATGTACACCAAACAACACATGTTACTCGCCTACGCCTTTGAACAAATTGAAAAGGAGTCTGCCAAAGTGGGTCTGGCAGTAAACGGCGAGAAGACAAAGCAAGGTCACCTCCCGCCAGACCAAACTCGCACTTTACAAGACGCTGATACTACCCGTGCTATTATATGGATCAGAAGCATGGGTGCTTGCGCAAGCAGATGAGGCAGCTCTTTGAAAGAAAAATTCTCCGAAAGATCTACGGGCCGATCTGCGTCGACGGTGAATGAACCACGAGCTCTACAATTTATACGCGGTCATCGACATAGTCAGTCGCATAGAGCTGCAGCGACGCGACCGACGCGCTTGGAAATCTTTTTTAAGCTCGGCTTATGGAACAACCGTTCTGTAACAAGCCAGCTAAGTAAGTAAGTAAGTGCGAACATTCTTTTGGCGAATGCTCGTTGGCTAAAAATTTATCGTGATAAATTCATTGGCAGAATGAGCACATACGAAAAATATCGTATTTTTTATCATTCGCGAGCGAATTTTTGCGCACCCTGCTTTAAAAGTTTCTATCGCTTAAAAAAGGCATTTTAAGGTCTTTAAAGGTTTCTATCGGCTAAAAAAGGCATTTTAGTTTTCTGTTGTCTAAAAAGGCATTTTAAAGGCAAAGGCATTTTAGTTTTCTAGAAATGCATTTTAAGGCCTTTAAAGGCTTCTATCGCCTAAAAAAGGCATTTTAGTTGTCTGTGGTCTGTCCTCTATCGCCTAAAAATGCATTTTAATTTTCTGTCGTCAAAAAGAGGCATTTAAGGCCTAAAATGCTTCTATCGCCCAAAAAAGGCATTTTAGTTTTCTGTGGATTAAAAAGGCATTTAAAGGCCTTTAAAGGCTTCTATCGCCCAAAAAAGGCATTTTAGTTTTCTGTGGTCTAAAAAGGCATTTAAAGGCTTCTATCGCCTAAAAAAGGCATTTTAAGGCCTTTAAAAGCTTCTATCGCCTAAAAAGGCATTTTAGTTTTCTGTGGTCTAAAAAAGCATTTTAAGGCTTTTATCGCCTAAAAAAGGCATTTCAATTTTCTATCGCCAAAAATTGTTATTTTAAGGCCATTAAAGGCTTCTATCGCCAAAAAAAGGCATTTTAGCTTTCTGTGGTCTAAAAAGGCACTTAAATGCCTTTAAAGGCTTCTATCGCCTAAAAAAGGCATTTCAGTTTTCTGTGGTCTAAAAAGGCATTTTATGGCCTTTAAAGGCTTCTATCGCCTAAAAAAGCATTTTAAGGACTTTAAAGGCTTATATCGCTTAAAAAAGCATTTTAAGGCCTTTAATAAAGGCTTCTGTCGCCTAAAAAGGCATTTTAGTTCTCTGTGGTCTAAAAGGCATTTGAAAATATTCTTGAAATTATTATTAAAAATCCAAATTTATGTCATTGAAAAAATATTCCCATGTCTCTTAAATATATATAAAACCAGAAGTTCTAATATTAAAATAAATATTTAACAAAACAAAACATATTTTGGAAATTAAACAAACAAAAAATATTTTTTAATATAACAAAATTTGTTTTACAAATATTTCCACAAAAAAAGATTTTCTTTTACATCTATGGCAGATAAATATTTACTATCTTAAAATATTTTATTAAAAGAAATTGCCTTTAAAAAAGTGAACCAAAATGTGTTTGTACTTTGTGTAAAAAACTGTGTACCCTGAGGACCCCATGAACACTAAAATATCTTCTCTCTCTCATTGTTCCATTATTTTGTTTTTGGACCATCATAATGACAGTCGGGACAGAATTTGCTGAGACCAATGACCTGATAGGATTTCTGTAATTTACGACGTTTCACTGATTCAATAAGTAAACATCGCAGCGTATGCAGTAGGCCCAGTGACGGTGGGGAGTGATCGAAATTTCCTGAAATAGAGATAAAAAAATATTAATTCTATGAAAATTTAAAATTGGGAGGCTTAATACTTTTTTTATGAAACTTTCAAAACTTTTTCGAATTTCCATATATGTATGTATCAAAAATTGAATCTCAAATCTCTTACCTATAAATCCAATAACAAGAGTATGTTCCTGATCAATCTCATCCATGCCATTTTCATGGTTCCATCCTCGAACATCATAGGCAACACCTTCATGGCCAATTAAAAAGTTATATGGCAATTCTTCAATTGCTTGTTGCGAGTGTTCTTCCTAAAAATAGAATAAAATTAAAAATAGTTTGAAAATATATTTTTTTGATAATTTCTTTTACCTGCAATTGTTGCAGTAGCGGTATACATTGATGTATATTATCACAGCTTTGGCTTCCGGTTTGTGTGATCACCACACTATCGACCCCATTGGCATTGAGTCTATGGCCCATGGGTAATTGTTTTAAACTCCATACATCATGATGTACCAAGTCCAAGGAAAATGTTATTATGGGAAAACGTGCTGGAAAAAATAAAAGAAAACATAAAATTTGTCTAATTATGTAGGGGTAGGTTTTGATGTATTTCATGTGGGGAATACTCAATAATATATTGCAAACCGCTCTTTGGGGGACTTCAAAAGACAAACATCTACATTTTTTTTTAAGAATTGTCCTGAGGATTCCACTTTGACGGTCCTCGAAAAATATTCTTTAAAAAAATCCGCTTTAACCTCTAATGGTTCTTGAATTTTTCTATACAAATACATTTAAATCTCTGATAGTTCCTAATAAAATATTCTGTAAAAAATCTTCGTTTGAAACTCTGGTAATTCTTAGAAACATTTTCTTTATAAATCCGAGCTTAAACCACTGATAATCCTTACAAATTATTTTTTAAAAATTTGAACTCAAAAACCAAGTTTTTCTCCTCTTATTGCCCTCTAACAAATATTCTTTAAAAAATCACGGATAAACCTCCGACAGTCCTCTTATTAAAACATTCAACGTTGAACCTCCGATAAGACTCAAGAAAACCCATGTTAAAAGTTTTGATGCGCCACTAAAACAATTCTTTAAGAATCCACGCTTAAAGCTCTGATAGGCCTTTAAAACTATTCATAAAAAATCCACGCTTAAAGCTCTGATAGACCTCCAAAAATATTCTTTAAAAATCCACGCTTAAAGCTTTGATGGGCCACTAAAACAATTCTTTAAGAATCCACGCTTAAAGCTCTGATAGGCCTCCAAAAGCATTCTTTAAAAATCCACGCTTATAGCTCTGATAGACCTCCAAAAAATATTCTTTAAAATCCACGCTTAAAACTCAGACGGTCCCTGAAAAAATATTCTTTGAAATCACGCTTAAAGCTCTGATAATCCTCTTAAAAATATTCTTTAAAAAATCCACGCTTAAACCTCTGATAATCCTCTTAAAAATATTCTTTAAAAAATCCACATTAAAACCTTAAACCTCTGATAATCCTCTTAAAAATATTCTTTAAAAAATCCACGCTTAAACCTCTGATAATCCTCTTAAAAATATTCTTTAAAAAATCCACGCTTAAACCTCTGATAATCCTCTGAAAAATATTCTTTACAAATCCACGCTTAAACCTCTGATAATCCTGTTAAAAACATTCTTTAAAAAATCTACGCTTAAAGTCCAGATGGTCCTTTTAAAAGGTGGCCCTTCGATGGTCCTCCGAAAAAATTCTTTAAAAAATCCACGCTTAAAGCTCTGATAGGACTCCAAAAAATATTCTTTAAAAATCCACGTTAAAGCCGTGATAGCCCTCTAAAAATATTCTTTAAAAAATTCACGCTTAAAACTCTGATAGCCCTCTTAAAAATATTCTTTAAAAAATTCACGCTTAAAACTCTGATAGCCCTCTTAAAAATATTCTTTAAAAAATCCACGCTTAAACCTCTGATAATCCTCTTAAAACATTCTTTAAAAAATCCACGCTTAAAACCCTGATAGCCCTTTTAAAATATTCTTTAAAATCCACGCTTAAACCTCAGACGGTCGCTAAAAATTTTTCTTTGAAAAATCAGGCTTAAACCTAAGATGGTCCCTGAAAATGTATTATTTGGAAAATCGGGCATATACCTCTGATAATCCTCTTAAAACTATTCTTTAAAAATATCCACGCTTCAAACTCTATAAAATTCTTTAAAAAGTTCTGGTTCAGGCCACTGAAAGACCTTGAAGAATCCACACTTAAACCTCTGATGGCTCTGAAAAATATTCTTTGACGAATCCGACCTTACCTTATGGTCCTTGAAGATATTTGTTAAAGAAACCCCGCTTAAACCTCAGACAGTTCTAAAAAATGTTATTTGAAAAATCAGGCTTAAACCTAAGATGGTCCCTGAAAATGTATTCTTTGAAAAAGCGGGCTTAAACCTCTGATAATCTTCTTAAAAATTTTCTTTAAAAATCCACACTATCAGAGCTTTGATAACCCTCTAAAAAATATTCATTAAAAATCCACGCTTCAAACTCTAAAAAAATCTTTAAAAAAGTTCAGGTTCAGAAAGACCTTGAAAAAATAATCTTTGAAGAATCCTCACTTAAACCTCTGATGGTTCTGAAAAATATTCTTTGATGAATCCGACCTTATAGCCCTGATGGTCCTTGAAGATATTCTTTAAAGAAACCCTGTTTGTCCTTGTGGCCCTGTTGGCCCTGTTGGCACATGACAATTTATTCTTTAAAAATGCATGCCTAATACTATTGGTCCATGAAAATATATTCTTGACAGATGACCTTCTACAGACCTTCTATATATATGTGTAAAAAACTTAGTACAGATCTCCTATAGACAGAGAACCTACTACAGGCCTTCTATAGACAGAAGATTTTCTACAGGCCTTCTATACACAGTAGATACAGGACTTCTATAGATACCCATCACACATCTTCTATAGACAGAAGACCTTCTTATATATTTATTTTGATATATTCTGTTCTAATTACTCAAATAATGATATTCAATTTTCTACTTACACACAACCACACACACACATTTACATCTTTATAGTTTTTATTCAACATTTTCCAACTCAAAACTTACTTTCTATGATAAGTAAATAGATGGCAATACCAAGTCCAAATATAAGCAACATGGCAAACATTAGAACTTTCAATTCCCAAAAATGACTGCGAAATGATTTGGTACTCTGGCCCGACACTTGACTGGTTTTACTGCCATAGGACCACAGGGATACTTGTTCATCTCTATCCTTCAAACCATTGCCGTCGTTGTTGTTATTGTTGTTGCCATCAGACTGCTGCAATGCCCATTTGCTGCGATCCACCAATAGAGGTGTACTCTCATCAGCTTCGATCACTATGGCGGTACTATGGGCATCCATCGATCCATAAGATTTACCCGCGCCACCTCCGCCGCCATATTGTAAACCTTTGAAGATAGAACGTTTGGAAATAACGGTTAATAAATTCAAAGCCAACAACAAATGCATCAGCTGCTGTAGAAGATCTCGGCACCAGTTGTAAAGGTGATACATAGGGTAATGGTAGTCATGGTCCGACTGCAGCTTCCAAATGAAGAGCCCCACACCGGCATTACTTAGCAAAATGGGCATTTCAAGATGACCTGTTTTTTATATATTTTTACACTCTTTACGATGGGGAGGTGGTGGCAGAATGAAATACGTTTTACAAAATAAATGAGTGGAGTAAAAAAGCAACGCCACTTGATAAGATTTCAAGATAAAATACAAAAAACTTTGACTGATAATCTTGAGATCTGTTATCTCTGGATCTCTGTGTTTTCGGGGGGAGATAAATCATTTGTTTGTGTTTTTTTATTATTATTTTGCAACTGAAAATGTGTAACTAAAGCTAATAGTGGTAGCTAAATACAGTCGAGTACGGTTAGAACAAACTACACGGGAAGAAATATTCATTCAAGTCGGAATTGGATAATTTAATAATACAGGGTGTATCTATCGGCCCTTAAAAAAATATTCATTAAAAATCCACTCCAATTTCAATGATGTTCATAAAAATATCTTGAAAAATCCACGCCTATAAATAATCCTTGAAAAATCCACGCCTATAAATAATCCTTGAAAAATCCACGCCTATAAATAGTCCTTGAAAAATCCACGCCTATAAATAATCCTTGAAAAATCCACGCCTATAAATAGTCCTTGAAAAATCCCCGCCTATAAATAATCCTTGAAAAATCCACGCCTATAAATAGTCCTTGAAAAACCCCCGCCTATAAATAGTCCTTGAAAAATCCCCGCCTATAAATAGTCCTTGAAAAATACACACCTATAAATAGTCCCTGAAAATTCCACGCATATAAATAGTCCTTGAAAAATCCACGCCTATAAATAGTCCTTGAAAAATCCACGCCTATAAATAGTCCTTGAAAAATCCACGCCTATAAATAGTCCTTGAAAAATCCACGCCTATAAATAGTCCTTGAAAAATCCACGCCTATAAATAGTCCTTGAAGATCTACGCCTATAAATAGTCCTTGAAAAATCCACGCCTATAAATAGTCCTTGAAAAATCCACGCCTATAAATAGTCCTTGAAAAATCCACGCCTATAAATAGTCCTTGAAAAATCCACGCCTATAAATAGTCCTTGAAAAATCCACGCCTATAAATAGTCCTTGAAAAATCCACGCCTATAAATAGTCCTTGAAAAATCCACGCCTATAAATAGTCCTTGAAAAATCCACGCCTATAAATAAGCCTTGAAAATCCACGCCTATAAATAGTCCTTGAAAAATCCACGCCTATAAATAGTCCTTAAAAAATCCACGCCTATAAATAGTCCTTGAAAAATCCACGCCTATAAATAGTCCTTGAAAAAAATCCACACCTATAAATAGTCCTTGAAAAAAATCCACGCCTATAAATAGTCCTTGAAAAAAATATTCTTTAAAAATCCACGCCTATAAATAGTCCTTGAAAAAAATATTCTTTAAAAATCCACGCCTATAAATAGTCCTTGAAAAAAATATTTTAAAAATCCACGCCTATAAATAGTCCTTGAAAAAAAGATTCTTTAAAAATCCACGCCTATAAATAGTGCTTGAAAAAAATATTCTTTAAAAATCCACGCCTATAAATAGTGCTTGAAAAAAATATTCTTTAAAAATCCACGCCTATAAATAGTCCTTGAAAAAAATATTCTTTAAAAATCCACGCCTATAAATAGTCCTTGAAAAAAAGATTCTTTAAAAATCCACGCCTATAAATAGTGCTTGAAAAAAATATTCTTTAAAAATCCACGCCTATAAATAGTCCTTGAAAAATATTCTTTAAAAATCCACGCCTATAAATAGTCCTTGAAAAAATATTCTTTAAAAATCCACGCCTATAAATAGTCCTTGAAAAAAATATTCTTTAAAAATCCACGCCTATAAATAGTGCTTGAAAAATCCACGCCTATAAATAGTCCTTGAAAAAATATTAAAAAAAAAATCCACGCCTATAAATAGTCCTTGAAAAATCCACGCCTATAAATAGTCCTTGAAAAATCCACGCCTATAAATAGTCCTTGAAAAATCCACGCCTATAAATAGTCCTTGAAAAAAATCCACACCTATAAATAGTCCTTGAAAAAAATCCACGCCTATAAATAGTCCTTGAAAAAAATATTCTTTAAAAATCCACGCCTATAAATAGTCCTTGAAAAAAATATTCTTTAAAAATCCACGCCTATAAATAGTCCTTGAAAAAAATCCACGCCTATAAATAGTCCTTGAAAAAAATATTCTTTAAAAATCCACGCCTATAAATAGTCCTTGAAAAAAATATTCTTTAAAAATCCACGCCTATAAATAGTCCTTGAAAAAAATATTCTTTAAAAATCCACGCCTATAAATAGTCCTTGAAAAAAATATTCTTTAAAAATCCACGCCTATAAATAGTCCTTGAAAAAAATATTCTTTAAAAATCCACGCCTATAAATAGTCCTTGAAAAAAATATTCCTTAAAAATCCACGCCTATAAATAGTCCTTGAAAAAAAAATATTCTTTAAAAATCCACGCCTATAAATAGTCCTTGAAAAAAATATTCTTTAAAAATCCACGCCTATAAATAGTCCTTGAAAAAAAGATTCTTTAAAAATCCACGCCTATAAATAGTCCTTGAAAAAAATATTCTTTAAAAATCCACGCCTATAAATAGTCCTTGAAAAAAATATTCTTTAAAAAAATCCACGCCTATAAATAGTCCTTGAAAAAAATATTCTTTAAAAATCCACGCCTATAAATAGTCCTTGAAAAAAATATTCTTTAAAAATCCACGCCTATAAATAGTCCTTGAAAAAAATATTCTTTAAAAATCCACGCCTATAAATAGTCCTTGAAAAAAATATTCTTTAAAAATCCACGCCTATAAATAGTCCTTGAAAAAAAGATTCTTTAAAAATCCACGCCTATAAATAGTCCTTGAAAAAAATATTCTTTAAAAATCCACGCCTATAAATAGTCCTTGAAAAAAATATTCTTTAAAAATCCACGCCTATAAATAGTCCTTGAAAAAAATATTCCTTAAAAATCCACGCCTATAAATAGTCCTTGAAAAAAATATTCTTTAAAAATCCACGCCTATAAATAGTCCTTGAAAAAAATATTCTTTAAAAATCCACGCCTATAAATAGTCCTTGAAAAAAATATTCTTTAAAAATCCACGCCTATAAATAGTCCTTGAAAAAAAATATTCTTTAAAAAATTCACGCCTTGTGTAGTCCTTGAAAAAAAAATATTCTTTAATCCACGCCTAAAATCCACGCCTATAAATAG